GATAGTAAACCACGGAAGCCTGATTCCCTTTTGGTTCAAGTAAAACCCATTTCTTTTGTACAGGCTCAGCTTCTCTCAGAAAGTTTGTTTGTTTATTTATTTTATTATTTGTATTTATAGCCCGCCCATCCCGCAAGTGGGCTCAAGGTGGGATGTATCAGGGTAATAATACAATAAATGCAGATAGAAAATTAAAACACAATAATGGACTTTAAAAACAGTGATCACAGTTCAGCAAAGTCAACTGACTGAGGTTGCCTAGCATATTGTTTGGCTTGATATGTGGATGACAGCAACCTGATACCTCAGCCAAAAGCCTGATGGAACAGCTCCATCTTGCAGGCCCTGTGGAATTAAAAAAGATCCCGCAGGGCCCTGATCTCAACAGGGAGCATGTTCCACCAGGCAGGGGCCTGGTCGAGGCAAGATGGATGTCCTTTAGGCCAGGGACAACCAGAAGAAGTTGGTCCATAGAGCATAACACTCTTCAGGGTGTATACAGGAAGAGGCGGGCCCTCAGATATGTTGGTCCCAGGCTGTGTAAAGCTTTAAAGCTATTACCAACACCTTGAAGTCAACCAGCAACCAATGTAGTTGGCAGAGCACGTGCTGGATGTGAGCCCACATAGGCATCAATGTCAGCAGGCGCACCTCCGCATTTTGCACCAGCTGTAATTTCCAGGTCAGCCTCAATAGTAAGCCTACGTAGAGCAAATTGCAGTAATCAATCCTGGAAGTGACCATTGCATGGATCACTGTGGCTAAGTCCTGGGGGGAGAGGGAAGGTTTCAGTAACCTAATCTGCCTAAAATGGAAAATGCAGATCTGGCAAATGCAGTACCCTTTGCCTCCACAGAAAGGGAGGCATCCAGTGTTACTCCAAGGCTCCTCACTTTCTGGGTTGGCACCAAAGGCACCCCTTCCAGCATGGGGAGTCTGATACCCACATCCATTCCCTCTGACCCAGGTACAGAACCTCCATCTTCAATAGATTTAACTTCAACCAGCTCTGCCATAACTATCCAGCCACAACATCCAAAGCCTTGGCCAGAATGCCAGGGGCAGAAGACAGATGGCTGTCCATTAACAGATAGAGCTGGGTGTCATTGGCATATTGATGGCAACCCAGCCCATAATTCCTGACTACCTGGATGAGGGAGCGCATATAGATCTTGAATAACATTGGTGAGAGGATCGCCCCTTGCGGTACTCCACATTCAAGTGGGTATTGCGGGGAGACCCTTTCACCAAGTGACACCCTATGTCCCCGACCATGGAGAAAGGAGGGGAACCATTTTAGGGCAGTCCCCCAAACTCCCACGTTGGCAAGATGGTCGGTCAGCAGATCATAGTTGACCGTGTCGAATGCTGCTGTTAGATCTAATAGCAACAGCAGTGCCAACCCTCCCCTGTCCAGCTGCCTATGGTCATCTGTAAAGGCAACCAGAGCCATCTCTGTCCCATGGCCAGGGCGGAAGCCAGAATGGAAAGGATTAAGGATGGAAGCATTCTCTAGGAAATCTTGGAGTTGTTCGGCCACCGTTCTCTCAACCAGGAAGTTCCCCAGTCCCTAACAAATCTAAACCCTTCCTTTCAGCACCACTTTCTCATCTATGCATTGAGATACCTAATCTATGCCTGTCTAGTTGATCCTGTGTGTGGAACCATTAGCTGTTCTGAGAACACTACCATGGAGGTTCTGACCTTTAAGCTTTTGCCTAGAAACCTAAATTTTCCCTCCAGGATCATATGGCTACGTTTCCCAATATCATTGGTACCAACATGCACCATGACTGTTGACTCCTCTCCTGCACTAGCTATCAGCCTATCTAGACAGTATGTGATGTCTGCAGCCATCACAGAACTTGAGACACACATACCTGATCACATGGAAAATATAACATAGTTAGGCCCTGTATCAGAAGTAATTTCACATTCAAGCTGTGGTCAGTGCAAACCAGGACAGAATTAACAGTGGATGCTGATTAGAAAGGTGTGAGGCCAGAGCAGTAGGTAATACAGAGATGCAGCAGGCAGCCACTTCTGTGAATGTATCCTTTGGCTTTCTTGTTACACAGTACTGTACCATTTTACTTGCTACACACAGTCTGGGAATTACTCCTGTAGATGGCAGGTCTCCCTACCAACTTGGCAGGAGAGAAGACTGTCTCCTTCTCTTTCCCCCCCTCCCCGCCGTCTGTCCATCCCTGTGGTTTGAAATGTGATCTCCCAACTTTGTTCAGCTCACTTTCACCTAGGTTTTACTCAGCAACTTTGCTGTCAGTTAATAATAAATACTCCAATGGCTAGTTTTGAATTTTTAAACTGTAGGGGGGGACAGCTTCATGCTCCTGTAAATTTTGAAGTTTATTTTCATAACTTAAACCTCACATTTTAGAGCTTGCATATTGTATTCTAAGAAGCCCTTATATCTGACCAAGTTTAGTAGTACAAATTTTGAAATAAGTGGTCTGGGACTCACAGAAGCTTCACATAAATTAATTAGCCTTTAGTGTACTACAGGACTCTGTTATTTCTTACAGAGATTTTCATTTGTTCCTTTATGGAAAAAAACAAACCTGAGCATTGATTCCTATATTAAACTGCATATTAATGAATTGTCAGATATTTGTCTGGTAGATGGTGTTCTGCAATTCAAGATCTAGCCAAATTATTGGGAACTGCAGATGTATCTTTGCAAGATTCCTGCTGTTCCAAGCAACACTGTCTTCTGGAGCTGAGCTGGTGGTGTTTGTTCAATGCCCAGAATATCCAGGTGTTTCTTGAGACTCCTAGGCACTGCTCCAAGGGCTCTAATGACAACTGGCATGATGGTAACCTTCTTCTCTCAGAGGCCCTCTAACTCTATTCATAGGTCTTGGTATTTTGTGATCCTTTCCTGTTATTCCTTTTCTATTCTGCTATCTCCTGGAATTGCAGTGTCAATGGTCCAAACCCTATTTCTCATTTTTTTCCTACAAATTACAGTAGCTAGCTCCAACTATCAATCTAGCCACAGCGTTCTGCATTAGCTTCAGCTTCTGAATACTCTTCAAGGGTAGCCCCAAGTCCGGTTTAGGGGTAACTAAGGCATAGATCACTGTGGCTAGATCTGACTGAATCAGGAATGGTTGCAGCTAACACAACAGCCAAGCCTGAGCAAAAGCACTATGGATACATGGTGTTCAAAGGTGACAGCTGTGTCGAGCAGCACTCCCAAGCTGTGAATCTGTCTTTTTAAGGGGCATATAATCCCATCCAAGATGCGGGAGATCTGAAGCCCCTGGCTTGCCTTTCTACTAATGCAGATAACCTCTGTGTTGTCAGGATTAAGTTTCAGCTTGTTCAGCCTCATCCAGCCCAAACAGTGGTTCAGAACATCAACACCCTCCTCAGAATTAGATGGGAAAGAAAGGTGACACCTATTGGTGACACAGCAACCCAAACCTCTTGATGACCTCTCCCAGTGGCTTCACATAGATGTTAAACAGTGAGGAGGATGAGATCAAACCCTGCAAAACCCTACAGGCCAATGGCCATGGGTCAGAGGAGGAATTCACCAGCATCACCTTAGACCAGGGTTGCCAGGTACACTCACCTGACTGGCAAGGGGCTCCCAGCCCACTCCCAGGAGACCAGAAGTGGTTTCAGGCCACTTCCACCAGAAATGCCCACCCTGATGTGCTCATGTCATCCAGTAAGCACATCGGGGACGTCTGGGAGCACCGCTCTGGTATTTGGGAACCTCTATGTAAATGTGGCCGAATTTACCATAGAGTTTGCCCAAATACCAGAGTGTCCGGAGAGTCAGGTTTTCTCCTTGATCAAGCAAAGACTTACTGATATTGAGATACAAGAATGGAAAAGCCTTGCCTCTGGCCGTTATTCCCCAGTACATTGGGAGCTTTCCTCTGGTCCTATCTTCCCTGAACATTTCTCTTGTTATTTTGATCCTCACGTTCATAGGGCATTCATGCTAGCCCGTTTTAACATTCTCGTATCTATGGTGTTATATGGGAGATTTAAGAAAATTCCATACTCAGGCTGTGTCCATGTGGGATGAGCAAGATTGAAGATAACTATCACATTAATTTGCATTGTAAATTTTATTATCTTCATGCTGTATTTTTAAAGCCTTTTTGCTACCTTTGGAGGGTCGATCTGAGGACTGTAAGTCCTTCACACTTTTAGCTTCAAATAAGAGTGAAGTCACTTAATCTGTTGCGAAATTCCTCTACCATGCCTCTAGGAGATGTTCTTTCTGACCACAGAGTCTATTGTAATCTATTTGGAGTCATGCATTTATGCCAATAAAGGTTTTGTGATTCATGATTTGATACCAGAGCGTCACCTCCAGATGCCTCCAACATGCCTACGTCACTTCCAGGTGACCTCAGGGATTTCCCCCTGTCAGCCAGGTGGCTGGCGGTACGGAAGCATCCCCCAAAAGCACAGGTTCTCCCATCCCCGGCAGGGGTCTGGGAATCCTAAACCTACCTGATAGTAGTCAAAGCACCATAACAGTCCCAGAACCGAGAGGTGACTCAGTAGGATATTATGGCCAATGGTATCAATGGCCTCTGAGAGATCCACAGAACTAGCAGGGTCGCATTCCCTCTGTCTAGTTCTTGATAGAAGTCATCAACCAAGTCAATTTACAGTCTCTGTTTCAAATCCCAGGCTTAAACCAGATTGAAATGGATCCTGAAAATCAGTCTCTTCTAAGAGCCACTGGAGCTGAGAAGTAAGAAACCACTCTATCACCTTGCCCAAGTATGGAAGATTGGAGACTGGCTGGAAGTTCTCCAACCTAGTAGGGCTTAGGGAGAATTTCCCCCAAAAAACAGGTCTAATCACTGCCTCTAATCACTGTATTTCAGTAGCACTAGGAATGAGAATAACTGGGAGATAAGGGGACTGTTTGATAGTGTTTTCTGATTGCTGGCTTCTGATTGAGATGCTGGTTAGAAATGAGGAGTAAATATTATCCTGATTCTGAGAGGCTTTTTCTCTGATTCTTCTTACAGGCAACAAATCCAAGCTCTTCTAGGACGATTTAGTCAAGCAGAAGCCTTGTTAACTTCTGCAGGAGTGCAACAAGGGGGTCTGGACGGAGTTCTTTTGGATGCTGGTTGCTCTTCTATGCAACTGGATACTCCAGAAAGAGGTTTTTCCTTGCGAAAAGATGGCCCTTTGGACATGAGGATGGATGGTGGCAGGTATATATTGATAAACCATTTCTTCCTTCCAACAAGAAATCAATTTCTCAACAGCCCACTAGATTTAATTTCCTTTTGAGGCTGCAGAACTCTGATCACACCCCCACATATACCTCTGCATATACATAATAAATCAGCTTTTATTGCCTTCGGCAAAATAGTTTTCTTTATGCTGTGCACTGAGGCCTTACTGGTAGATTGTTTTTTTAAAATGTATACTGGACTGTTACAGATGTTTGCAATAGCATGAATTCGACTGGTAGCATTTATACTTGAAATGACAGAGGATAACGAGCAATTTGTAAAAGAGTGACATAGAACTGGAATATTCACAGAAGTTATACAGGAGTATAACCAATAAGATTGTTCCTATAGAAGCATATTGCTTATCCTTGAAATTAAACTGATGATGGCCTTCTGCTATTTTAAGGAACTGTAATAAACCTCTGAGCAGTTCACATTTTAAAACTGTTTTCAAGGTATTTACAGATGCCTACATGGACAGCAGTTAATGATGTCTCTGTGGCGAACACGCTACTTTGTGTTTCTATGAAGCATATCAGAACGTGATATTATGTGCTTATATTAACACTACCTTTCATTGAGATCTTCCACAGCTCAACATAGCCTAGCAAGAATATGTAACAATAAACAGCAAGATGCAAACAGTGTTTTTTTAAAAAAAATAGATTCCATATCACAGTCTAGAAGCAGATACACCAGTTGCAGCCAGTGTTCCCTCTAAGCTGAGGTAGTGTGAACTAGCTCAGTTTTTTAGCCTCTGGCTCACACACTTTTGTCTTAGCTCAGGGAGGATGGCTCCAGAGCAAACTAATTTATGCAGTAGCCAAATTGCTCACTCCCAATTGTAATGCCAGTAGCTCACAAAGTAGAATTTTTGCTTACAAGACCCCACAGCTTAGAGGGAGCATTGCGAGCTACTACTGTTGATAATGGTAGCAAACTAGTACACATAATGGCTGGGAAGACTAAAATTGCTTGTTTGCTATTGCACAGACTTAAATATATATATACTAATAATGAAGTCGGCCAAATCTTTGGATACTTAAATCCAGAGACTGAAATGGTGAATGGGCAAGACCAGTGCTCTTTTCGTAGCAGGAACTCCTTTGCATATTAGGCCACACACCCCTAATGCAGCCAATCCTCCAAGAGCTTACGGAGCTCTTCTTACAGGAGCTACTGTAAGCTCTTGGAGGATTGGCTACATTAGGGGTGTGTCGCTTAATATGCAAATGAGTACCTGCTACAAAAAGAGCCCTAAAAACCAGGGCTCTACTGGTAGCAGGAGCTCCTTTGCATATTAGGCCACACCCTCTAGTGTAGCCAATCCTCCAAGAGCTTACAGAGCTCTTCTTACTGGGGCCACTGTAAGCTCTTGGAGGACTGGCTACACTGAGTGCCCTCAGTGGCTGTTGCTACACAACCACAGTATTCCAGGCTGGGTTTCTGTGAGTAAAAAGGCAGGGCAAGAGGGCAGGGTCCTTTCCAACCTATTTTGGCCTTTGAGGGAGTTCTGCTTGGGGATAGGCCTGAGGCTAGGAAATTCATGGCGAGTTTGTGGTGCAGTCTGAGGAGGGCAGGGTTTGGGGTGGGAGAGGCCTCAGCCAAACATAACACCATAGAGATCATCCTCCAAAGCAGTCATTTTCTCCAGGGGGACAGATCTCTGTCATCTGGAGATCAGTTATAATTAGGGACGGGCACGCTCCAGAAAAATGGCAGTTCATTGAGGTTCGGAGGTTTGTGGGGTTTACGGACCCCCAAACCATGAACCATCTTTAGTGGACCGAGTCATGATCTGTTTGGTCTGTGATGCCGTGCAGCTTACAAAGCCATTTAAAGGGAAGGCATCCCCTTTAAATTATTTTTGCAAAGCCATGTGGTGTGCGAGTGAAGGCCAAGCAGCGACTTCACCCACTTCTGGTTCACTTCACCAGAAATGGGTGAAGTCACCACTTGGCCTTCACTCATGAACACATTCCCTTTAATGGCTTTTGCAAAGCCACGTGGCACACGGTGAAGCCCAAGCAGCGACTTCACCCACTTCCAAGTGGGTAAACTTGCCACTCGGCCTTCACTCACCTGCCATGTGGCTTAGCAAAATCCTCACTAGCATGGACCTTACAAATCTCCTGGGAGGGTGGTGTACTCATGGGAGGTCCATCTTAGCAGGATGGCATGGACCAGGCTCACAGACCACAAACCGGGCCCCAGTCCATGGAAACATTAGGACCGTGGTCCGGTCCATGCCCATCCCTATTTGTAATACTGGAAGATCTCCAAACTCCACCCTCCAAAGCAGCCATTTTCTCCAGTGGAACTAGGGTTGCCAACCTCCATTACCTGCAGGGAATACAGTGCGCAAGTGAAATATGGACATGGATTGATTATGGAACAGGACTTAAAAATTTAGAACCTCGGGAATCTTTCAAAACACTTGGCACAGGCACTTTTTCTGTGTAATTATAACATGGATGTTAACACTGCTTATGATTTATAAGACTGTTTACACTAAATGTATTAATGATATCACAGTTGTATGTAGTTCGATTGTTTCACCTTATCCTGTGATCTCTCTTTGTTAAAAACCTCCAGGTGGGGGCTGGAGATCACCTGGAATTACAACTGCCCTCAAGATGACAGGGATCAGTTCCCCTGGGAAAAATGACTGCTTTTGAGGATGGACTCTATGGCATTATACCCTGCTGAGATTGCCTCCCTCCACAGACCTTGCCGTCCTAAGGTTCCACCCCCAAATCTCCACGAATTTCCCATTCTGAACCTGGGGAACTGATCTCTGTAGCTGTGAGATCCATTATGATTCCAAGAGCTCTCCAGGTTGGCAACCTTATAAGGAGAAAAGGAAGCAGAAAAAAGGAAGAGGCTATGGGGGCTTTCAGAAAGGAGAAGGAGAAAATAGTGGGGGAGGGGGAAGTGAGATAACGCCTGCAAGTCCTAGTGGTTTTCCCACTTGTAACATACTTATGCCAGGAAAAAGTGAATGAATGAAAACAAAATCCTAACAGTAGTTGGATGCAAAATGCTGTGTGAATTTTTCTAAATATTACCTTAGACAGAGAACTTGTGGTATAGATTTTAGTTAATGTATCCAACAATGTTACAGCCTAAGCCAAGGGCTCCATGAATGCCATTTAAAAACAAGCTGATTTCACATTAAAGACGATTGACTATTAAACCAGACTGCCAAAAGAATAAGTGAACCCCCACTCTCACTTCCCCCCCAAAAACCAAAATACTTAAAACTTGAAGTGAAATTGGTTGACTTATAATAGCTCAGATGTGGAGAAAATCTTAGTTTAAAAAAATCAGATGAAGTCAAACTAAATTATCCCACAATAAAAAGCAATGCAAAGGGAAACTTTTTGATACATCTGCCTTTTACTCTGAAACAACTATTAATTTTTAAGCATTTTCCTTGCAGATAGTATATTATAGAATTGTATTTTTACAGAAGAATAGCATCTAAGAAATTGGGAAGGAGGTTAGG